CGGAGGCAGCTGGCAGGGACACGGGGTCCCTGCTGGCTTCATCCCCATGGAAGCTGTTACCCACACGTCGTTATCCCCCAGAAACTGCGTCCTGCCCCTATCAGCCCCACTGCACGATTCCATGTTTGGCACCAGGAGAGCAGAGCGAAGCCATTCCCAACCATCACTCTGTTCCCATTTCAAGGCATGCTGCAAATAATGTTTCCCCGATACGAGACCTGCAGTCAAAACGGGGTCTAGCAGGTGGAAAAATCACTGTTTTCCACCTGACAGAGATGAATTATTTGCAAACACCTCCAGGCCCCGAGCAGGGATGTTTGCAGCTGGATAACCAGGAGCGGCAGCATTGGAATGGACGGGGTGGGAAGCGTGCAGGAAAAGAGGCTCCCCGAGGAGGATCCGGAAGAAATTCCCTTGGGATTGCGGAGCCACCAGGTGAAAGGGCTGTGAATTAACCGCACGGAGAGCTCTGCAATACACAGATATCACGGGCACTTTATCAGCTTTGTCAAACGGCTTCTCTGCACGAACCGGGCTCTGTTCATGGGTGTCCCCACTGAGACGCGGCACTGGGGACCCAGGGACACATCCACGGGGTGCCGGGCACTTATATAATGTATAAGGGCCTTGGAGCGGTGCCCGCGGAGCCAATCAACTGGTGCAGATTTGCATGTTAATGAAGCTCATGAATAAAACACACGGGACCAAAGCAAGTGGGTGATGGCTGCTGAGCACCGGCAGCAGCAACTGCCTTTATAAATCACTTGCATTTTGCTTTCCTTTCCTTGGAGGAAAGGGCTTGAACGCGGCTAACACACCGGTGAGTAACACACAGGCTGCTTTGCCGGGTGCTTCGGCAACGGGGGCAGAAAGTGCAACCCCCCATAGATATTTCCACCGCTCGAGTTTACAAGTGCCCAAAACAGGGGGTTACGGGGGACAAAACACCAAGGAAAGGAAACCCCCACCACACCGCATGCCTCGTGGGGCGCACAGCGAGCAAAACCCTACTTGTCTGCATACAGAGAGCACAGATTTGTGTGAATTTATATAAAAATAACAATATGTGATATAAAAATACTGAAAATTCACTTTGAAAGTGCCATTGCACCCAAGGCAAAGGCCGGGCCCCGGAGAAGCCGTTGGAAAGCGCAGACCTACCTGGGAGCCAGGGCAGACCCTCCGCGTTGGGTCCGTGACGAGCACCAGGGCATGGGCACCTCGGGCACCTCGGGCACCTTGGGCACCTCGTCGCGCCGCCCGTGAGCGCCGCTTTATCTGCAAACGCCAGGTTTTATCTGCAAACACCAGGTTTTATCTGCAAACGCCGGTTTATCGCAAGCCGGCGCCTCTTATCCGTGCCGTGCTTTTCCATGCAGGATTTCTGCTTCCCAACCACGCACCCGACCCGGCCCTTCGGAGCTGAGCCCTGCAGGGATGCGCTCCTGGTGCGCCGGGATGCGGCCCTGGGGAGACCTCCTGCTCCCCGCTCTCCCCATCCATCTCCCATTCCGCATCCCGGCTCCCGGCGCGTTCCCGTCTCAGCTGCAGGGAAGCAGAGGCCGTATTTCTAGGTAATTTCATTAATTTTCCTTCTGCTTTATGTCCCTTGATATAAAGACGTAATGAAATTTTAAAATGCTGTAATTCCACCTGAAAGATTATTAACACTCCGGCACCATTGCTAGCAAGGGAAGGCAGAGCAGCCCGGCACGAGCTGCCCTGGATTTGGGTGGATTGCTGGGATTTCCGTGCTCCAAACAGCAACTGGGTCCCCATCCCGGCAGAAGGGACCGGGATGGAGGGAGGATGGGAGGGAAAAGTCCTGGCCAAGGCAGCCCTATCAGCTCCAGCCGGGAAGCGCAGAGCGGAGCCGGCACGGAGAAAGTCGCTCTTGCCCATGGATTTCTTTAATCTATGGCTCCCTTGGAAAGCACGCGGCCTTGTTCACGCAATAAAATAGAGGAAAATTTAATAAGATTTCAAATTGCCTTCTCCTGGATTCAAATTGCTCCATATATTATCCTCGCAATAACTGCAGCACTTCCCGCTCTGCTCCAGTCTTTTCTTCACACAAGTCCTTGCATTAATGAATTCTTGGTTTTTGTTTAATAACCGCTCACAGGAAGCCCTCGGTGTTGGTGTCTTCATCTGCGCGGAGCAGAGGCCGAGGCTGCCCCATCCCGAGCACGGAGCTGCCGCCGGGAATTCCGCAATTGGAGAGACCATAAAAAACGATAGAGCTAAACAGAAAACCCCAATGGACCCCCCAGAACTACCCTGCTCCCTATGGCTCCTCCATACATTTGGAGAAAAACTCTGGAAAAAATAAAAACAAAATGAAAACCTCGCCGTTTTCCTTTCTGTTTTGCAAAGCAGGGGTTAAACGAGTCGCTTATCAACTAGATGTGTGACTTTGCCAGGCAAATTGAAACCCGTGCCCTTGTTTAATTAATAGGACAGCTTTATAATAGGGAAATTAGGGACGGTCTTGATGAGCTGATTTGTTAATTAACGGAAGCCTCGAGGCTCCCGCTTTATTAAACTCCTCCACGTTGCAGCGCGGGAGGCCCCGGTCGGGTGGATTTGCATCCGTGCGGGCGATGCCCCCGGCACCACGTCTGGCTCCGCCGCATCCATCGGGAAAACGAATTCCCGCAGCCCAGGAAGAGGGTGAATCCTCGGCCAGGCACCGGCCTGGGCAGAACCAAGGTGCAGCCTTTCCTCGGGAAAGGAAAAAGTGGAAAAAAAGCAGGATCATTTACCAAGATTTTCTGGTAATTTTTTCCCCTAATCAGATTAACCCAGAGCCTCAACAAGCAGCTCCCTGTTCGTTTTTGGATATTGGTGCCCATCGCGTTATCAAGGAAGCCGGGATGCAGCCGGAGACTCCGTTATCTCTGTCTTTGATGGACTGCCGGCTCCCGGCCTGGATTTTCCTTCCAGCCTTTAACAGACCAGCAGCTCTGCCAAGTTTCCAGCGCATCCTTCATGGCAGGGGGAGGCAGGGAGCCCGCCAGGAGCATCCCAAAAAGGACTGCGGGTATCCGGGCACAAACCAGCTCCACTTGTTTTTCCCTTCTATTTTCTAACGCTCCGGCCTCAGATCAATAAATTAATTCAAAACCACCTAACGAGCACTCAGCCTGTCATTTTTCCTGAGTGTTAATCCAATTCCTTCCAAGCGCCAGCCCATTGGGACACTCACAAATTAGGAAGCGATTCAAGGCGCTTCGCTGACATTACTTGGGCAGAAAACAACATTAGGCTGAAAATCAGGATAATGCCAGGCTCTGCCTAATGACGGTTTTCAGAGACCCAAAAAGTGCTTCATTTTATTTGATTTTCTGCTTTCTCCACTTACCGCTGCACCCCGGGGCAGTTCACTTGAGCCTTTAACAACCCTATAAAAGGAGCCTTGCCCAAAGCCTTGGTCTGAGCTGGCTTTTACCGTGATCCAAAATGATATTTATCAGGGGAACGACTTCTGCTTCAGCTGTCACAGAACCCATAAACACAAGGTGATTTCAGTTGCGGGCTCCCGTGGTTTTTAACGCCTTCGCTGTCTTGCCGGTGCTCGCAGAGGTCCCACGGAACACGCGGAATTCCCGGATTCCAGGTTCCCGCAAGGAGAGCGCGCGATGCCGGGTACCCGCTCGGCCCATCCGGCTGCACGGAGACGCTCCCGGCGCCGCATCCTGCGGCTCCTCCAGCAGCAGCAGCCCGGGAAGCAGCTGCTCTTCCCTCCTGCTTTGCACAGCGCATCCCTCCTGCTGCTCCCGCTCTCTTCCCGAGACAACAGCATTTGCAGGAATATTTACAAGCTGATTAAGCAGAGAACCGACTCGAACAACACCGACGGGCCAAAAAGGAGCTGGCCGGGCTGCAGACACCATCCTGGCAGCCCTTGGACCATTGACTTGACGGGATGCTCGCTCCAGAGCTGTGGCAGTGCAGGAAACCTGGAAACAGCCCGGTTTTGGGAGCAGAATCACACACCGGGATCGCCGGGAACCAACAATTGCCTTTTATTTATATTTAGCAGCAGCGCTCACGCGAGCTCCATGCAAGAGGCAATTTGCAATAACACAACAAATTTTACAGTATGTAAAACCCCATGCGCCAAGGGGGAAACCGCAGTGAGGAGCCACGAGCCCCCGCGCCGCTCGCAGCACCCGGCTCTCTGGCTGCTCAGAGGAGGCTCCGCGGCAGAAACGCAGCCAAACCGAGCTGAAATATTAGTTTCCCGGGGGGGTAGAAGCCTCTGGCCCTGCAATTCCCACCCCAAGAACCTCTCTGGTCCTGGAGACCAGGAGTAAGGATGCAGGGAGGGACTAGGAAAGAGCTTTGGTGGCAGAGGAGGGTGGAAAGCGCTGGCTCTGCAGGATTCACAGCCCTTGGTCAAAGGCTCTCGCACCCGGCCTGCACCTCCATCCAATTCCATTCAATGGACTTGATTTATTTGGATGAGCAGCTACGGGAGCCACCAGACTCATTTATAGCAAGACCTCTAGTGCTAATAAATGTGAGCAAAGAGGCGGTGTGCGACCCCGACGGCACAGCCCGGCTCCAAACCCTGCTCTTCTCCCAGTATCCAGGGTCTCCATCACCCAACTCCTCCTTCCCACCTGGAGCAGCCCCTTTGGGGCCGGGATTGGCCCTGTGTGGTCACCGGGCGCTCCCAAGGCTCCATTCCCAAGGCTCCATTCCCAAGGCACCTGGAAGCCACGGGCACCTCGTGCTTCCTCCAAGCTGGCTCCAGCATCTTGGCCAGCAAAGGTAAATCCACATTCCCCATCACGCCTCTCATGTCTTGCCACTAAATACAAGATAGTTTAAAGCAGAAGAAAGAAAACCTAAAGCTCTATTCCAGATGATCTAGAGGAAAGGAAAACTCTACCTTTTTCTTGCCAAATATCGAGGATTTTGCTTTTTCTGTCCTGAATTTCAAGCGCAGAGAGGTCACACCTGCCATGGAGATGACCACAGATCGCCTTCCCCTCTCATCACTGCAATCCCAGAGTGTTCTGCAAGGCCAGGACTACGGCGCCAAAACCCAGGGCACGCAGCAGTGTGGAATTCCATCCCAAGAAGATAAAGTGATGCCTGAATGAAACTGCAATCTTTGGTGCAAAACACAAGAAAAGAGCAACCAGCCTAGGGCTTCCCGTGCTTAACCCACAGGCTGCAAACAAGAGCAGACCAGAGAAAAACTGAATATAAGAAGTGCAACCCACTCCCAAGCCTTCAGCCAGCCTCAAAGGCCAAGGCCTTCCCTACGGACCGCCAAGGATCCCGAGTGCTGGAATTAAAACACTTTGGAAAGATGGCAAAGATCCGCTCTAAATGTTCATCCTAGGGAAATGCGGGGAGAATAAAATGCTCGAAACCAAAGGGTAATGCACAAAGCAGATGTGCCAGCAACCATAAGGCAAAGCCAGGCTTTCAGAAACCGAACCTGAGCTTTGCGCAGATCAGACGTGAAAATGAACTCACTTGATTTCATGCCATGTGCAGATCTTCACAGCTGTCTGCTCTGTAATCAGCGGAGACTCAATGTAATGAGTACCCAGGAGCAAAACTGCAGCAAATCCCGGGTTCTGCTCGCGGTCCTGCGTCCGGGCACGTCCTTAGTGCCCGGCCTTGAGGCCTCAGTAAAACCTTGCAAATAGAGGTGCTAAAACTCTATTTTTAAGCAGGAGAGGCTTCTCCTGACATTAAGGAGTCCCCAAGGAGCTACCACCGCTGCCTTTGCACCATCCAGCTCCTGCTATTTGGGTCTGGGATGCAGCTCTCCCCGAGCGGCGGCCGGGCCGGCGCCAGGCGCATTCCCAGACCACAGGCAGGGGCTGCAGCAAACGGTTCCCTCCATCCTGGCGGGAAGCGCCTCGAGGCATCACTGGACCACTCCGATTCCCGTACGGATTTTCCCAACCCGGATCAGGAGGGGAGCGCGGCGAGGCCCCAAGGCCCTGGTGGCAGGGGACACGCAGCAGATCCCAGTGGTCCCCAGGACCCGGCTGCTGCCTCCCCGCTCCGGGTGCTCCAGGTTGCTGCACGGAGCAGCATCCCTACCTTCTTCAGGGAACTCGGTTGGATTCCTGGGGCTGTCCGGACAAGCCCCCGCGCTCCTGCTGCAGCGCCGGGCTCCGTGTCACGGTCCGTGTCCCCGCGCTGCAGCTGCCCCCGGTGTTGGCAGGCGGTGAAGGGTCCCCATGCGGAGCCAACAAGGGCCGCTTCATCCGCCTGCAGCTGAGCATCGCCAAGGGGAGAACACAAATAAAGCCAGGAACGAGGCTCGAGGCGTTCCCAGGCTCGGCCTGAACACAGAGGGGCTTTGGAGGAGATCCCGGGGGCATCCAGGGGGAGAAGAGGCTCCCGGGGCCAGGGAAGGCTCCCTATCCGTGGGCCTTGGCCAGGACAGTCCCCGCTTGGCACCAGGGAGAAGAGGCACCGCCAAGTCCCCAAAGGCACCGTCCTGTCCTCCCGAGGCTCCTGGGGGGACACGCAGGGGATGAGCCGGGAATCCTGCAAGGAAAACAGCTGCTTTTGTAACGCGCTGCTACGGAACTCCGGTCCCCTTGCCTGTCTGAGCCCTAGATCACAAGCCCTAGACATGGCAAACGCTCGAGTTTTTCCCCATGGAATAACGTGTGCTGCTCCCTGGTCGGGAGCCGATGGAGCCCGGTGCAGCGTGCCAGGACCGCACGCCCCCAGATCCCGCTAAACAAGCATCTCCTCACGTCGCTCCGGTGGGAACGCGGCCCAGGGAGCACGGAGGTGAGAGCAAGAGCTCCGCTGGGCTCCTCCGCTTCCCGCGGGATTCCAGCTGCTTCCCAGAATCAGCGCAAGGAGCCAGGGGCACCTGAGCGGATCAAAACACAGGGAGCGGTGCCGGAGGCAGCGATTTCCCTGCAGTTGTGGATGTGCAAATTCCCGTGCCGCAGTGTGGGGCCGAAGGCACTTCCAGAGTGTCAGGAGGAGCCACGGCAGCCCGGGCAACAGCTCCCATCGGAGCGCGTGTCCCCTCCAGGGACAGCCTGGGACGAGCGCTCGGCCCTGTCCCGCGCTCAGCGCCCGTCCGGTGACCGCGCGGATTCGTGGTGAGATTCCCGAGAAACGGCTTTCCTTGGCAACACACACGGCTGCACTCTCCTACCCACCAGATTGGGAGGAAAAATGATCTTTTGCCTTCTTTCGCCCTGTAAAGAGCTGCAAACCGCTGCATGAAACAGTATTGTCCTCTCCCCTCAGATATGGATCCGCTTGGAACACCTGGAAAAGCAGAAGCATTTTTATTTTTAAGATTTTTTCCGAGTTTTTTTTCCCAGGGCTCAGCAACATGACTGGGAAAAGGCTCAGAAATACTAGAAGAGGGAGGTGTCCCACCCTCACCTGCACTCGGGAGAGCTGCGCTCACCGCTCCGCTTCCATAGCCATTCCCGAACCCTCCTGCCTTCCAAAGCGGCAGCAACGTACAGGTGACTGGGAATCCGTGCGAGTGCAATAATGCAAACACTTCTCCCATGTGGATGGGCTCCTTATTCCCCTCCTCCCTCTAAATTTCTCATTTGCCTGGGACCTGCTGCTTGACCCCAGCTTAGCGCCGCAATGCTCAAATAGCTCCGAGCGGCCCCACTACAGCTCCGTGCTCCGCTTTGGAAGCTCCCCTTTTGTCCATTTATTATAGTCCAACATTATTATATTATTATTTGCACAATGGGTTGGCATTCGAGGGCTTTAAGGCGTTCGCTTGGCCCCGCAGCCCCCTGCTCGCTGCAGCCCTGAGCTCAAAACCCCTTCGGTCTTCCCGCTTGCTGCCGCGCTGATCCAGCCCCGGCTTCCGTTTGCCCTGCAGCCGGGAACGTCAGAGCCGGTTTTCCCAAGCCCCTTTAGCATCCCAGGCAAGCAAAATCCTCCAAAATGCAGGAAATAGAGATGAAACCAGGACTGGAAGAGGATAAGAACCCCACGGGCGCACGCAGCGAGCTCAGCTTCCACCTCCCAGTGCAGAGTCTGCATGAGCAGACAGGCCCTGCCTGCTGGTATTTTCTTTCCCACTTTTAATGCATGGCTGAAGAAAGCCAGAAAAGACCCCAGAGTTTGTTTTTTCACCCCCATAAATCAGATGGAAGATGATCACCAGGCTCAGCCTAACGGCTGCTGCCAGACGCAGCCCTCGGCAGCCTTGGAGATAGAATCATAGAATCATAGAAGAGGTCTGGTCGGCCAGCGGCTCCCAGCGCGCGGGGAAGAATTCCCGAAACCCCCGGGAGGCCACGGAGGCGATTCCCATCCCTGCAAACACCTCCAGGGAGCAGCCAGGGTCCTGCAGGCCGGGATCCAGCTCTGTGATCCCTGCTTCTTGAGCACACGAGGATACAGCTCCATGATCCCTGTTTCTCGAGTACTTGGGGATAAAGCTCCGCAATCCCGTCTCTCAGGCAGGCCGGGATACAGGGATAGGGAGCGCCTGCAACGCGCGGAGGTGCCTGCGGAGCAGCAAAACGAGTCACTGCCACCTGCCGGCTGCGACCCCCCTGCCGCCGGATTCACCCAATTTGGCCTCAAATATCAAGCGATTTTAACCACCCCTCCAGCAACACCCCTGCGAGGTGTCTCCATGGGCACCACTCCGGTTGATGATTCCTCCTAGAGGAACATTCCAGGCACCAGCAACTGCGGAAGCGTCTTGTAAATGATGGGAATGAGCAGCGCTAACGACCTCCTGAGGGACACGGAGGCACCCAACAGGCTCCCAAAAGGGCTTTCCAGGCTAGCAGGAGGCATCAAAACCAGGATGAGTTGCCTGGCACCACCTTACTCCCTCCTACGACACCAGATTCTCCAGACTCTCCCCATTCCCGCACGGAAAACGCACCCATTCCCTGCAATCTTTATGTGATTGCGCCTGGGGGCCGCATCACTGAGGGAAACGCGCGTTTCTGCTGCAGTTTTCTCTGCAAAAGCAGCTCATCCTTCAAACGCTCATTACTCCCGCAACGCAGAGCTCCGACGGGCTCCGATGGCCCGAGGCCACGGGAATTTCACGCCGCGGGCTCCGTTTGCAGAGCCCAGGAGCTATCGGGCTCTTTTTAGGGACGCTGGCTGAGCCGAGTTAATCCCGCTGCTTTTGTCAATGCCAATAAAAATCAATGAACACCTGAGACTGCCAGCTCTGAGCACGGTGGCTGCTTTTCCCACTGCTGGCTGAACACAAGCAAGGAAAGGAAGACGCTGTAACACAACTCCGTGATAAAACACAGGGGTTTTTTCCACAGGGAGCTGCTCAAACACTGGAAGAGAGGCCCAGGGAGGGTGAGGAATCGCGGTCCTTGCGGGAGCGCCCTCGGAGCGCTCTTTGTGCATCCAGGCATCACAGAAAAAGCAGTCGTGGAAGCTCTGGGCTCCCATCACCATTTGGGACACGGGTCTCAGTCCTCCTCCTCGGCAGGAGGACTTACAGGTATTCCCAGCTGGAAGGAGCAGCAGGCTGGCTTCAGCCATCCCCAGCTCAGCTTTGTCTTATTTAGTCCTGGAAAAAACAAAAACAGTTGCTAAAAGGAAACTTCTCCAGCATTTAAGAACCCTCCTTAATTACTCTTAGCAGCCCAGGGACTGCTGCAAGCTGCCAAGGCAGAAGAGTTAGCGCCTCTTTTCCACTAAAAGCACCTGTTCCTTATGCCTTTCCACATTCCTCACCCCCTGGAATGGGGATCCTGACAACACCTGGGCCTTTATTTTTCCTGTTGTGGCTGCTTCACCACACGGAAGGGAGCTGCCCACGGGGGCTCTGAGCTCCCCGAACGCCGCCTGCTCCCAGGGCAGCTCCGCGGTTCCCCTCCCGTATCCCGGCGCGGAAGAGAAGGGAAGGGAAGGGAGCGGAAGGGAGGGGAAGGGAATGGAGGGCGATAGCGGCGCCGGGCCC